GCAGGGGCGCACATTGGGGGGGAGGGGGAAGAAGGGGTGAGAAACCCCCCTTAGCGTCCGAATATCACTAAAAGTCGGTCCCATTCTTCCTTGATACTGTGCGAAAACTCGGTCCCAAAATTCGGGTATAAGAATTAATATTACTTCTGTCCGACTCCGTGAATTGAGACCGACTACACAAGAGCCGGTTGGTAAGATATTATGAACAATCCTATGTGTATGTGTTAATGTGTAAGAAACTATTTCTTGATTTTTAAACGTCAAATCGTAGCGCACCCGCTAAGGTTTAGATGGTTAATTCAGATTATTTATTATCTTGATTTCATTGTTTTGCTAGTTGTTATTATACACTTCTATTTTTCATTATTTTCAGTATTTTATATGGACGGACGAAAGTAACAATTATATTCGAAGAAATAAACTCGTCTCTCTCTCTCTCTGCTACTATCCGATTTCGTACCTGTGGCCTGCGAACGGATATTCTCATGACAGCTCATACACATTACTAATAAACACGTCCTGGTATTCACACGCGAGCTCATAGGCCTATACACATGTTTTGATTCTTCAGTTCAGAAAAAGACTGATCTGATTCTATTGATCTGGAACAGATTGAACAAATGCAGAAATTGAGCGAACTATTAAATAAGGGATGAATTTTCTTAATCCTTCGTTCGTACACCTGAACGAGCCTACCGAAAAGGTAGAGTTAAGACTCTGAAATGGTCGTTTCCGGCGACCTAGAGGTTCTAAATGTTGAAAATTTTCTCGCTGGCGCCTCGTGGGACTTGACCCCCTGATTTCAATACATTCCCACGTCCCTGTTCTGTGGCATGATGTTTTTGCAGAATTGTTTTTTACCCCTCTGTTTAATTTCTTTTTGAATATCAAAAAGTCGGTCCCCAAGTGGCCCACACCCCCCTAGAAATTCGTTAGATGTGCGCCCCTGAGCCTGTGTACAGACTGTATTGCGCTCTAATACTGCAGTCTGAGTATTTGTAGAAGTGCTTGTCCACCCAGCACCGCTACCCGATAATTGATCAGCTGATTGGTAATGACTGAACTTGGATTCCGATTGGCTGGAATTAAATGTCAACGAACGTTGGACTTTGATTATCAAAATCGAAAAAATATTTTCTTGACACTTGATGTTCATTGTAAATTTTACTTCTTTCTGTGGTTGAAATTTTCGATACAAAAATGTTTCTGATGTATTGCAGATTAATATGATATCCAATTGGACAAATGAAATACAACAAGGAGTTGAAGAAAACGGCAGTTCCTGAGCGTGATGTGATTTGTTTACGTTAACTTTGTTGACCCTGTGGTTGACCTTAGAACTCAACCAATCAGAGTCTACTGAGTTTAACTGGCTAGCGCAGCTGGGGGTCGGCAAACCAATGCCAGGAATTTCCACAGACAGTATTACAGCATGATACAAATTACAGCCTGCACACACGCTAGCAAGAGGTAGACTTGTAACAAAGCTATGACATTTACAGATACTATCCATTCTTAGTAATAACCGCGCGGATTGATTTCTGTACAAAACAGTATGCGCGATTATTTTTTCGAAAAGCTCTTGATGAGTTGACATGTTATCATATATATTAGATTTCTACAAAAGTAAATCAAAGACGATAATTGATTGGCTACATTCGGCATAATTGTGATTTCCCGATTACCGATGGGCGATGTACGATTGCGACGAAACCTTTCCGCAGACACTGACAGATTTGTGCATCTTCCAAGGAATCACAAATTTGACATTTATTGTGTCTTAGCTTATGGACCCATGCAGCTACAATTCAAGGATGATGACATTTGCCGTTAGTGTGTAGAAATGGTTTTAAAAGAATTGCAAAATATTTGTGCAGTGTACCGTAACGTATAATAATATATATATTTTTGTGTACATTGGTGAATTGCATATTTCCTTGCATCAAATCTGGTTTCCATTTCAGTGCCGTAATGGTCCTGATCTGACAACCAAGAAAGCAGATATATAATTTTGATATCTGCTTGCAATCAGTTAACAATTGAATATGTAGCACACAAAAGAGAAGATATGTGTAATTACTAATTAGACTATATCACTGCAAGAAATCCCCGAGTATCTTTACTCAAAAATTTGAATGAAATAACTCAAATTTATGAGCAAATTTACTATTAAATACGCCTTCGCCCATTTAGTACTACTAAATTGTAGACAAATTGTAAATTTCGACAAACTATTAATAACGCTGTTTTCTGACCATCAAAATTCTGTCGAAACTTCCCCCAAAGTCCAGGAAATGGTATTTCAGAGACTCTAAATTTAAAAATTTCCTCGGGCCTTCGGCCCTCGTTATATTTTGGAGTAAAGTAAATGTTTACTCAAACGATTGAGTTTATCAAACGCCTTATATCAAGTCGGACAAAATATGACCACCTTTACTAGTTTTAGTATACAGCTGGAAATCTTTAATAAACTTTTTTCCTTCACTGAATTTCATGTAATATATTAGCCTACCAATGCTTTCATGGTTAAAACATTGTTACTGTTTTTCAGCTATAATTCAAATGCTTTAATTTATAGCCTGCCCTCCACTGAGCCCTGAGGGACCTGAGGGGAAATTTTGTGGCAGACATTGTGCATGGCAGATGTTGATGTCGTGGAAAACGAGTCCGGTATCGTGTAACAGGGGTCTGAGGTGGCCCGTTATCTCATGCAAGTTTTAGAAATCAGCAGTGTTAATCATTCAAAATATTTCTTATCTGCGAACGTTGACATTCAAGAGCAAAACCTCAATTCTGTCCAACTATAATTGAAGCTCTTAGTTCTTTACCGAACCGGAACATTTGAAGATGTTCTATTATGACACCACTTGTGGTGATGTGATGAACATTTCCTCCAGGTATAAACAGCATGTTGCAGAATCACATCAAGATGCTTTGGCGATTAAATTTCACGTCGTTTTAGACAAAAGCATGAACCATGCAGGATTATAACCTTTAAGAATAGGGTCAGCTGGGATTTAGCCTGCGTAGCAGGGGGTTTTGGGGGTAGGGGACCTGGAGTTGAGGTTCGGCAGGATACTGGGGTTAGATGCAAAGAGGCGACTTCAATACAAACAAATTCTTCACAATACAAATAATTTGCGATCCCAGGGGGCAGGGAAATTTTCATCAACGTTGTCATTCTGAAAAGGGGAGCACAATGTCACGTGAAAGCTTGTTGCGGCGTTAGAGGTGTCACATATACTCTGCTTTGCAGACACTGCATCATTTCCCCCGAACTTATAAAACTGGTTTACACTATATATCTAACTTTCTGTGATCACAGTAGGAATTTTGCATGGGTAAATTCTAATTTTTGAAGGGATTTGTAACTGATATTTGAGGGAACTAACTCGGTGTTAAACATAATTCAGTTCCCTGGCTTTTCCTTGAGGCCTTAAGGGATTAATTTAGAATGAATTTCGTAATTGCGTTAGAAGGTAAAAAAGATGAAAGTAACCGCTAATCCTTTAAAAACCTCTGCGGAGGAGAGGGGCAGTTTGCAAGGTCATTTAGAAAAGCTTCAAGCATTAATTACAGCAATCAAATTTCTTTGTGTTTATTGTTGAGACCACGTCGTTGAGTTTGCCACGTCGTACTTTCTAAATCTGTCTAAACTGAACGTGAAATTAGGGGGTAGGATATGGTGTAAAATATGCTTTTCGGCTCTTTCGAAGGCATATCCGCGAACGGGTAAAGCGCGGATATGCCTTCGAAAGAGCCGAAAAGCATACTTTACACCATATCCGCGTTTTACCCGATCGGGTAAAACGCGGATATGCCTTTTAAAGAGCCGAAAAGCATATTTTACACCATATCCGCGCTTTACCCGATCGGGTAAAACGCGGATATGATGTTTAAAACATATTTGAGAGAAAAATAGGTCATCCGTCCGTCCGTCCGTCCGTCCGTCCGCCCGTCCGTCCGTCCGTCCGTCCGTATCAGCGTTTTACCCTAACCCGTCGGTACTGGTACATAGTACTTCAGATCCCCATCTTCGCCAAGTGTCTTTGCTAATCGGAGTCTAAATTGCAGATTTTAAATTTAAATTTCAGGCTGGTGGTCAAGTTTTGGTGCGTTAGTTGAATAAGGATTCCAGGTTATGGTCAGAGTTGCATTCCTAACCTGTAACCTGTAGTTCTCCAGCTGAGACAATTGACGCAAAAGAGATTCAATCTGCAGTGGCTTCTTAGACATGCTGGCACGACAATACTTACTGGTTTACCAAACTGAAACATGATGATAGACAACAATAATGGGGGTCCATTCCATGATTATACTTGAATTGGATTATTGGATTCAAGTAATTCGATTATTTCCTAGGTTGACAGAACGAGAAATTCTAGTAGGCCTACATTCTTCGTTGATTAACTTGACTTGATGTTTAATTTAAGTATCAAATTGAAAAATTAACTTAATTTTGCTATGCATCCATGATAAAACCAAACAAAAGGATGCCACTTAAAATTTTGCGCATGTAAGTCAAATATGAAATATCATTTGCTGCCTGAGATTTGGTTTTCAACCGCAGGATTCTTGCGCAGGTATATATTTCACCAATAAACTGAGAAATGGTGATAATTACCTTTGCCAGGGGTTTTGTCTTCATCTGGCGTTTTATGTATGCGTTTGCGTATATGTCTACGCAATACAG